GCCGGCTATCACAAAGGACAATTATAACAATGTACACGACGGTTATCTGCCTTCGGCTACAAACGAAAAGTTAATTTTTAAATTACTTAGTTAGTTGCTGCTTTTTACTGCTGCTGGATCGATCGCTGAGTCTGAGACTGTTCACTGGCATTGAATGGTGCGATGGTCGGCTTGGCGGCCCCTCTCCGTGCGGCGCAGGAACCCGTGCAAGGCTTGTGTGACGTCTTCGGAAAGCCGGCCAGCTGGCACGCCAGACAACTGTCGTCGGCCTCGGTGCAGTCCTTCATAGCGTGGCCGGTGTTACCGCATTTCCAACAGGCGCCGGTCCGGTCGATGTCGGAGGTACAATTCCTAGACGAGTGTCTGAAGGTCTGACATCTAAAACATCTTTCTGGCGGGAGCGTCCTCGGCCTCACTCTGCACATGGAGAATCCCACCGGAATCCTCGTGATTGATACGGCCGTGTTGATGCTGGCCGAGGCGATCTGCTGGTTAGAGCGCGTGGACCAGATCCTAACGTTACTGATGGACTCTCGGTCTGCTTTTACTGCTGCGTCGTCCTGGCCGGTGACGGCGGAGCGGAGGGCCTCGAGGACTTCGGCGGCGGTGGCGCAGGCATCGAGGTCGAGGACCTCCACGTCCACCAGCACGCCGAGTTGACTGATTCTGCCGACTTCACCACCGATTTTCGCGGAGAATGCGGAGGCGATCTTCTTAGCGGCTGCCGCGGACTGGGTCTGCTGGGGTTCTGTCGTCGCTTTATTCTTGGTTCTGGTTTTTCTCTTCGCGACCGCTGACCAGCTGTACTCGTTTTCTGTTTCCATCGCCGAATCGGCCTCCGTGCCGTCGTTGTTGCGCGGTTAGGTGAGGTCCAGTCGCCTTCCCACCAGTTAGGTACGAGTTCCATGTCCGTGGACGCGTCGGTGGTGCTGGTCGAGGTAGTGGAGACGGTTGTTTGCTTCGCGGTATCGAGGACCTTCCCGAGCGCCCGGGAGAGTTCCTTCAACATGCCTTTTTTATCCAGGAGCTTCGATAGATTGTTTCTAATGGAATTCAGACCCGTAAGCCTCGACCTGACGCGTAAGACAGCAACGTCATTGTCCTCATCTTCTTCCGCATCCTTCAAGTGTAGAGTTGACCGAGCTATATCGGAGTTCACGCTAATAGAGATGTTCGAGAGCACCTCCTCGATTTCTGCGACGTGTTTTTCGAATGAGGATCGAGCGGCTTCAACCTGTGTCTTCTGCCTCTTCGGAGCGGGTTGTGGTCCTGTGATGGCTGCGGCGGAGGCACCGGTCGCAGATGTCCCTTGACAGATCTGGGCGAGGTTTGCGCGGTCACGTCCATCGCGTCGGAAGGGGGGAAGCTCATCGCGAGCCGGGGGCAATAATAGCCGGGGGTAACATGCTATTTTTAACATTTTACACGGCACCTCTCCCATACACCGCCACAGCGAGTCGTATCTTGTGTCGACCTGTTAGTGAGTTCTGAGCACCGCCGTCCGAGTTTGAGTAGCCAGTAGCACGATACACGTCACACCAACAAGCCGAGCCAGTCTATCACCGTCCACCGACAATTGCTGTTCACCGCCGTCATCCAGTACGAGTCAACGTTCACGCCACCACCTTCCGCCGCATACGCCATAATCACCGTCAAGGTATTATTGGGCCTCTACTGATTTCACGAGAGTAAGCCGCCGTCCAAGCAGAGCAAACCTCAAAACCCGAAGTATAAACCGTGAGTCTAAATGTTCACATTCCCCCCCCCCATATTTTATGTGATCCCTGAATAAATTATTTTATATGTAAACTCGCAAGAGTATAATTGATTAAAAGAAATACTGTAATACAATTATCAAATTTGTATCTGTATTAGAATAATGAGAATAAACGTGCAATAATATCAATATATAAAGTACAAGCGTTAAATTTTCATTACAAGTCATCTCCATGCAATTCATTAGTCTGATCAACCATCAACCGGTATAACTTCTTTAAAGTTGTCACCTGTATGTGTGTAATTTGAAGAACGCAAAAGAGAATTTCCAAGAAGAGAGACTATGTGTCTTTCTAAAAACAAATCAATATTTGTAGGAAAGTCCATGTCTTTAAAAGATACTACTTTTAGTTTCTTAAAGCTTGATTCTACCCCTGCGGAACTCGCTGTTAATTTTCCATATTTAAAAATAGGTATCATCAAACCTGACCACAAAGGTAAAAAATGCATTCATTTAATTATTAATGGCACTAAATTTGGCAAATACAAAGCATTAATGCCATCACCTTCTTGAATATATTCTTGGCTTTTTAAAATATTTCCTCATCCAAAATCTGAAATGGATTTTTTTTCACTATCAAGATCAATATCTTGTGGTTCATCTACTTTCTCAATTAAATCATGAATGTCTTCCTCATAGTCAACAGTTGATAACACTTCATTGTACCATTCTTCATAATGTATAAAACCAGTTAATTTTATTTCAATTATTTTTTTTTATGATGCTCACATGGAGTGTCTCTTCCTGTTACTTTATAAACTCCATCAGATTCATTAGTTAGCACGATGAATAGGGATAAAACAATTGAATATATTTCCGATATGGATTGGTTTTTAATTATAACTTATATGCTGCGTAGAATTACTTCTCTAACTCTACCTTGAGTATTTTTCAATGGAACCCATTTACTCACTAATTTTATAAAGTGAGCAACATCTGTTCGTATAAAACAATTGGGCAACCAAATTGGATCGGGCGATACCTTACCTAATGCTAACTTAGCACTACTGTTATAGATATACTGTTTTAGTGAAGAATACTGGGTAAAAGATTTCACACATGCTGAAAACAAGGCCATGGATTGGTCGCCAACAGTTTCTCTAGGTGAAGGCACATTACAATTTAACCAGTTTGCTAGCCAGTTATAGAAAGCAAGAGTTGTATGAAGCTTACTTATCATGTTTGAAACCGTAAAGCTGTGTAGTTTTGATTCATCGTATTCATCGTACACCAAAGATTCTTATAGATAAATCGTTTTAGTTTTATTCATTCCAAATTTTTTAAAGTTCTTAATTAATGATCCAGTTGCATCAATTATGATCTTTGAATAAGAAGCACTTTGACAGTAACTTCTATAGAGATGAATCTGTTCGCAACTATGGTAATGGGTATAACATATGATGGATATCATGGATATCACAACTTAAATCATGTAGGTAGAATGTGTTTATACTCATTTTAATTTTTCATTATTGCCAATGAAGTAAAAACATCTCCATGCCTTCTATTTTATGACGAGTGTCGCCATTTCATTTGACGTAACGCACCCCCAGATGGTATAATAGGTGGTTCAGAATAACCTGAAAAATATAAAATAGCTGACTGACGGACAATTTGAAATTTTTTTTTTCAATCAAAAAGTATAACTGAACATTATATTAGAAATCTCCCATACTATTTCAATTTTTAAAAACGTAGGTGTTTTGAGTAGGTCACAGTAATGAACGTACTAAATTAGAGAACTGCGGTCACAATTTGATGAGACGGGATAACTGGCTTTCGACCCGCCATTATTCGGTAAGAAATGAATTAATATTAAAGAGAAAAATTATACATAAGCTAACTATTAGGTACAACCTATATAACCAAATTCATAACGAAAACAACGTTTACTTCAACAACGTTGAAATCGGAATAATGAGTAAAACAAAAACATGGATGGTAAAAATGGTTATTGATAATCAGGGCTAGGATTTGTATGCAATAAAAAATTGTAAAATATGCATTTTATTTACCAAAATATGCAAAAATATGCATTTTAATTTTTATAAGATAAACACAAAAATATAGTTACAAAAAAAATATTTATTTATTGAAATACAGGTTGGCTGTAAATAAAAATCACAATAATTTTACACAATACTAATAAACGGTGATGCGCGGACAGCTGAACGGTCTGTACTACACTACTACGTGGGATTGTGTGTAATACACTATAATACCGGACAAATGATATCTTATCTTAGATTTTATATTGACCGACAAACTTTTATTAATTGTGTTTATCTTTTTCCGTCAAACTATTTAATCTTTAATCGCATAGGTACCTATTGTACCATAGGATTGTATTTATAAAAATAAAATTAGTGTTTGACAAAAAAAAACCAAGTTTTATACTTTAATCAGCAGAGCTAGAATTACATACGAAATATTAATATTCAATTATATTATTACAAAATATACTATAAAACATGCATTTTTCCCATTTTTATAATCGAAATATGCAATATTATTCATTTTATTCGATATATGCATTAATATGCATTTTATCCAAAATATGCAAAAACATGCAAAATAAAAACACCACCATTTATCTCATCATGACGTGATTCGTGGACATTACTGACAAAATCAATAATTAGAAGTCACAAAAAAAACATGCTGTTGCATACAAATCCTATCAATGATAATAATATAGTAGCGGAATTTATTTTTAATAGCCAATAGGCAATGAGCAATGAGCAAACACAATAATAATTTATACAATAAGATATCGATGAACGTCTGTTTGGAATTACCCAGCTAGCCCGTCATACTACGGTACAAATCATTTTACAATAACATGATCATGATATTAGAGATGATTCAAGTTAAGTTATTTTAAAGATAAAGAGAAATGCATTTAATATTTGATTTGATAAATACTACTTTACTATTTTAATCAAAATATTCAAATATTTTACGACCTACAAGCTAGACAACGAGTCAACCAAGTTATAAACAAGGGATCCACAATTAATGAGCATTATATTAATTATTCAATCTACGGTTAAAAGATTAATACAACATAATATCCTGTAATCCACAACATATTATAAAATTATAATGGTACAATTATTATTTCTATGGCCGACGGCATTGGCGAGACGCGCGAAATATTCGAACGGGTTTTTCTCGCGAACCAGACGCGTGCGAATATCGGGGTCTGTCGTGCAAATTCATGCTAATTACATGCTAATTCCCCGTAAAAAAAATAAAAATGTATGGATGGGTGGTGCTGGCGATACGGCCGTAAATGCTTCCGCAAGTTTTCAAATGTAAATGCTCTTCGATTGTCGGATAACAGAGTTTTGTACGATGAAAATGACCTCTCGACGTCCACTGAGGTGGTCGGTGCATATTTAAAGTACACAAAGTTGTTGCAAGAATAATTATCAAGAAATTGATTCATATCCAAAATTTCATCTTCTCCTTCTAAAATGTTTGATATTTTCTCCACCATTTTAAGACCTTCATATTTTTCACAAACTTTTTGTAGTTTTAAAAGTACTGCTTTTCCTTGAGTTCCCTTTAATGGTTGAAATTTCGAATTTACTTCTTGAATTACAGTAAGTGAATCGGCCAATGGAAGGTTTTTCGTTTGTAATTTTACAATGGCCATTGTAAGCACATGAAAATTACTTTTGATATAAGCTAAATTGTTTTCCAATCCTGGTTTAAGTAGGCATAATTTTACTTTTTTAATACTATCTGCATAATTTTCGTCTAGGGCATTTATAGTGCTACATATTATTTGGAAATTTTCACAGTAATAAATTGCGGCTTCGAGCCATGTCCCCCAACGTGTTAAGATAGGTTCTGGTGGTAATCTAATTCCTTGAGCTATCGATTTAAACAAAGCAACACAATATGGGGCTTTTGGAAAAAATGTTTTCATGTTTGATATCAACTCGTCAACAGTATTAAATTGACCACGAATTTCATTTTGGTATATAAATTTTTGAGAACTGAACCGGCCTTTACCATGTAAGGAGCTGCGTCGGATAAGAATAGTAAGACGCTGTTGTACATAATATCTCCAGGCCATAAAATGGTCATTGATTTATTAAAGACTTTACAAATAGTATTATGATTTGTTTTTTCTAACTCTTCTGAGTGCAGTAGATATGAAAGACCAATAATAACATTTGCCACACATCGTCCTTGTACATCACATGTTTCATCAACTGAAACCCAAATTTGATTGTTTCCAATTTCAATTTTAATTTTATCCATTACTTGGTTGTAAATGTCGTCAATATATCTTTTTCGTAAGTTAGTATCAAATGGAATACTTTTACCTGTATATTTTTCTAAAAATGAACGAAATATTGTGTTTTAAAGTTTATTAAACGGTATGCTTGGGGCCACCATTGCTTCGCATAAATCCTTATTAAAATCTGATTTGGTAGGTTGATTGGTTAACAGTTGTTGTGATTTCCTTTGAACTTGATCTTTTTGGCTTTTGGAACTTTTTACGTGTTTTTCAGTTCGAATTTGTTGGCTTACGTTAAACTTTTTTTCTAAATTAATCTTTAATTCACAAACTTTGCAAAATAATACAAACCTATCAGTAGATAATATTTCAGATCCAAATTCAGACACATAGTTTCTCAAACGCGCACTTGTGGATTGTTTTACCTTCCCCATTTTGAGTATAATATTATGTTTACAAAAAAATTTACACGATTTCAAGCACGCAGGTGATACACGGCTACGGATAAACGTTGCGGACTGAACAAATAATCGAAAATCGAAATTATTAAATAACTATTATCGCCTTTATCGCCAGAAGTCCGAACTATGTTCACCGGTAATACCTTTAGTTTCACAGAACGATTTATAAACACATTATATAATTATCGTATTGCTCGTATTGCGAAACGGGCAATACGGGCCATCATATTTTCTAATCACGAAAATTATAAAGAGTTGTGAGTTGTATATAGTAAATAGGTACATAAGATTGCATTACTATTTTCTTTTTTAGATCGGTTGAAATTTTGGATAATTTTCCAAAATACCTATGCAAAATAAGCACTTTAATGCAAAATGTATGAAATATGCAAAAATATGCATATTCAAATTTTAGATTTGGTATCATGACATTGAGAAATGAATTTATTTCGTACTTTGCTACATTTTACAATAAATAAAAAAAGGATGCAAATGCTATAAGTCCCGAACCCTGGTAATTACAACAAAATAATATGAATACAATAGTCAATACAATAATAAATATTATAATTACGTGACATTCAATGTTATAATTTTTCAACAAAAATATAGTGTAAAATAATAGAAAAATCCATAATAAATAATATAATTATAACGAAAAGCCGCACATTCAATGTGATAATTGTCAAAAAAAAATAGTAAATTAATTAGATATAATATTATGTACTATGTTTTGTTATAATAATTACTACCTATTTACATAATTTATATATTTACCCCCCCCCCCTATTTTACGAGCTATATATTTTAGCGAATTATATATATTTAAATATGAGGGCAACTGGAACATTCGGTTGGGGGCAACTGGTACATTTGGTTGAGGGCAACTGGTACATTTTGTTCTAGGTAGTTTGGGGGGAATGGGTATAAAAAAAGGTACTTTGGGGGGCAACTGGTACATGCCCGATCTAGCAAAACCACAGCTGCCTACTGTGAGTTTCGCGACCGTGGACGCACGGTATAGATCGCGTCCCCAGGTTGCGGATAGGGGGAAGCCCGGTTCCCTCGGTTCGCCGAGTCGGGTAGCCGGCGAATAACTAATACCCGGCCGCGGACAGCTTCGATCAAATGACCCGTAGTTCCGGACAGTATGTCTTCTGGGCCGGTTCACGGTCGCCGGTTGGGCCACCGACCCAGCCGGTGGTGCTCTTAATACGAGTTGAGAGCACGGGCGCCGGAGTTTCGCTCCGTCCAGCAGCCGGGCGTCTCAGCGTAAGCCGGGTTCGGGCATATCTCCGGGACACAGCGGTGAGTGTTGCGGGCTCGCGGCTGATGGCTCGTCTGCTTAGAGTCCCTAAGTCGGTAGGCGAGGGTGGTCGTCGCAAATAGTCCCACCTTTGACCGAAAGGTAGGGCTGTCGTCAGTTTGGGCAGGGCGCCTCGGCTCGGCAGGCATCCGGGTCGGGACGTTCGGCCAGACTGACCCAAAGAATGGGTCCTTGCTGATGACGGCTCGAAAGGGTGGTGGCCAAGATTAATTTCGCACCTCGCGGACGCTCGTCCGCGGTTAAGGCAAACCAATGCCCGTCTTGCCGGACAGAACTGGTAGCTTTCGAGGGGGTGAGAGTCTGACTGAAGACGCTTCAGTACCACGGGAGTGAGTGCGGCCCCGTCGGCAACGACGCCGCTCACCGCGGGCGTCCAGTGATGGTTCACGCCCCTGGACGTCCGTTGCCGGTAGGAATCGTGGTGGCGGTTTTCTTACGAATACTTTGTGGTTAAGTCAATAGATGCTTATTTTAAGTTCTCGCTGACAGGTGAAAACCTCTGATGAACGGCCGCCACGACCCGGGGGCGCGAGTCTCCGGTATGTTGTCGGTTCCTCTCGGGTGTCTAGCCGCTATACCGGTGTAGTATCATCGGAGGTTGGGTGTAACCAGAAACACTCGGTGTGGAGATAGCACACAGCCAGACCAGGCTAATTCAGGCGGCACTTGGCCTGTCTTCTTGGTACGGGACCTCGGTCCCGGTGCTCGTGGTCCTTAGACGACGCGCGGCCGGCGGACTGGGCCACCGTACGTCGACCGTGAACCTCCGCGGCTCTCGACTAGCGCACAGCGCTAATGTGAGGTCCGCGGTTGTAGCCGCAAGGCACCAAACCCCGGGAGTCTTCGTGGTACATGCCCGGGTAAACACATTCAATTTTTCAAATTATTTAATAATGAATAATAATAATAACTTACCTGTTATATTGTTCGGTACTGTCCGTTGTGAATATCACCAAAATCAGTAGGGCTATTCGGTTGTACTTTCTGTACTAAAATGGGTTTTTCAGCTGTCAGTACATTTTCTACTACAGGCACTATGTATTCGGGTCGCTGTAAATTGCGGCCCTTTTTTTAATTTTTTATGCAAATTGCCGCCCGGGTATATTTTATACAAACGTAAATTACGGCCTGGGTATAATTGTTATTACCTACCCAAATATTTTTTATTTATAAGTAATAATTAGGTACGTCTAAGCCTTTTTTTTTTCAAAATCAATATTTTCCTTCTCATTTTTCAGACTTAGGACTGTTAGTATAATTGTATCAATATGAGTATGATTAAAAATTGGTTTTGCTGTTTTTTTGTTTTTAATTAAAAAATATCTTATTAGCAATTAGTAATAATGTGTCTGTAAAAATGTGTATGGTTAAAAAATGTATTATTAAATTTATTTATTATAAAAAAATTGTAGTTAAGAAACTGGTAAAAATTTGTAAGACAATTCTCGCACATAGTCTCTAATGTAGTATTTTTTTTTTGCTTACAATTCATACATTTTGTCATGTATAAATGTTTCTTTATCAGTCATTTTCTTGCTTATTGTTCCCTGAATTTTCAATGTGATATACGTATCACATTGCATGTTTTTTAAAATGTCAATGAAATTGAATATGTTTGGGTGTGATGAATTGAATGAGCTGTTTAATTTTTTATGAAATGATTCACAATTGTTTGTTGTGCGCATCGTTGATGATACAAATTCGGCCCATATCTGTGGTGGAAACTCTGCGTCGTTTTTTAAATATGTTTCTAATATGTAGGCAGTAAATTGTACTATCCTATTATCTTGTGGTTGCAATGCCATTATATCATGCGCAAAACAATCTTCAACCATATAATGACTTAAAAAGGGAAGTCCAAAAAATAATTTAAAAAAATTACTTATATCCGTATTATTGTTTTTGTAATCATTACTTAACCCCAGCTGCTGTATTTTCCTGTACCAACTTTGACCAAGGTGAAATCTACACCCTCTTACTTCAATAGAAGGCCAAACATGTCTTGCAATGTGAATATCCTTTTAAAAATCGGCATACAAACGAATAGAACTGAATTGTAAGTTATTTTTTTTACACTCTATAAATGTTGAAATGCCTCTAATAGCATTGTGTAGTCTTCGAAGGTAGTAAAATATAAACAAGTGGAACATAAGACTGATTTATTGTGCAATGAACGGTAAATAATTGATGGTATAATTTCGGACAACTTTTGAATGTACCATCTACAAATATAGTGTCCGAATTGCATAGCACTTTTAAATTGCTTAACATAGAGAAACTTACTAAATTTATTTCTTTACCATTAACTAATACATTTTTTAAATTTTTATTTGTTTTAAATTCCATGTTGTCAAAAATGTAGGTAGTGTTATTCCAAAAAAGTGGATGGTAATTTTGGTAGGATAGAAGCATTGTGTAAATTTCGTTTAATCAACTTTACGTCTTGAGTAGGTACCTAGTTAAAGATTCGACATCAGCATTTTTTAATTCAGAATGAATAATTTTAGATGGCCTCGTAAACATATCATCAACGGCTTTTCTTTTGAAACTGTTGTTTAGTTTCTGTCGATTTATTATTTGTTCTGAAATTTTAAAATGACTTGTGATTTTTAAAACTATTTATACAAATATTATTATCATTAAATTTCAAAAAACACTTACACGTTTTAACTGTGCAATACCAGCGCGCTGAATATCATTTTTTAGAATTTTGTGAAAACGAAATTTGAAATCATCAACTACTTTCAACGTTTTATTCCTTTCGCTTTTCATAACGTCCAGTTTTATTCAATTGAAAAAAAAATGTAAACAGTAGACTGCATATAGACTGTAGAGCAACGTAAGACCTCGTACATATCTAAGGTCTTTGATCAAATGCACACTGGCTGCTAATAATATATGATATTAGTGAACATATTATTATCTGCATCGATCAATCAAAGATTAATACTTATCTTTAAATTGTACAGCTGACTGGAAATCGGAATATCCCAGGCCGCAGTTTACGTGCATTTCAAATATACCCGGGACGCAATTTACGCAAGTTTTAAAAGTACATGGGCTGCAATTTACCGACTCCGACGTATTCATCATTATTTTGTTGAACTGTCTTCTTATTAATATTAAAAATATTAAAACTTTATTATTCATCTTAATATCTTTAAGCAGAGGTATTCAAACTTTTTCATCCCAAGGCTCCTTTAAGTCTTCCCGGAATGTTGACGGCTCCCAAATTTAAAATAACAAAAAAATCAATGTTTATTTGAATGGTTTGTTTTTCAAAGTTTCTTGTACCGTTTCCAAATGACATTTCATTTTATTAGGGAGCATGCTTTCAACAGCCATCACTTTTAAACAAATAACACACTGTGGACGTTCTTCATTCTCCACTACCGTATACGTAAAACCATAATCCATGTAACTCTCATCATATTTACGGTATTTTGATTTTCTTACAGTATTAGAACTATCAAATTCCGGATTATCAAGTTTAGGTCGGTTCAAAAATGTATCCATCCTGGGGGCCAATTCTTGAAAAGTGATAAATTTTTATCGAATACGATAAACAAATTAGTCTCTCACCACGCCACAGAGGCAAGGCGGGACGGGAAGGCGAGTCGTGCAAGACGAGTACCGGCCGCCAGTGGCTCGTTCTCTCGACCACCAACGGTTAACCAGGACGCACGTAGGCCGTAAACTAATCCACGCACGGAAAACTCCGGTTCGACCACGCCGTGCGGTTCTGTTATTTTCGATCTTTTTTATTCTTATTTTCTGTTGTATTGTTAAATAAACGTCACAAGCGGACACTCTATTATTCACTTCGGACGTGTTGTCTCTTAATTTCACGATTGTGAATATCCCCCCCCACATCAACTCCATACCACACCGAGACGGGCATACCGCGGACACCAGATCTCCACCGCCGTAGCCGCGTCAATTAGTTATATTACAATTAAAAGATGACGATAATAATTGTTGTAGGCTTCAGACTAAAAACGAAGATGTAAGGGATGCATTTTCAATTTCAGATTCATTATTCCAAAAAAATGTTCGTTTGACAAAAAATGCAACTCGTCCTTTAATTGAGATATTAGCACCTCATATAGAAGTCCACCAACGTTCATCATCAATAAGTGTAGAAATTAAGGTAATTAGGTAATCGGGAGTAGGTTATTTGCACCAAATATGAAATACATACCTAATGTAAATTACATCATGGCGGGATGGAGGGCATTCGAATGATTAAATTGCACCAAAATAAATAGGAAGATGAAAGCAAACTCCAAATTGTAAAATATAAAGTTAAATTAAAATTTGCACAAAAATAAAAAAATCGAAATAATATTCTAGGTACCTATCAATTAAAAAATATTAAATTTGAAATTTCTGTTACTTGATCTATTTTAGAGTTATAGTTGATTAATTGAAATTTGAAATTACTTCATAAATCAGTTACATATTATTATTCATATTATTTAAAATAATTAAATAGTTCTTTATAATTGCAATTTTAAACGTTTAATGTGAGTTTTACTTTCTTGATTTTTGATCAATTATTAATTGAAATGAACAAATTTGAATTTTGAAAACTATAAGGGTTAGTGGTAACTAAGAAATTATTAAAATTATAACTCAGTAATAATTAGTACGTGGGTAATGAAGTTAGCTATAATATAAGCCTATTTTATAGATAGAGATAGATACAACGTGATGCCTAGTATAATATATTGATTTGAATTTGGAAAAAATAATGGCATGTTCAGCACTGAAAACGCTATTTTCTTAAAACATTTATCTGTATCAATAATAATTAAAGAGTTGGTTAGAATGACTCATAAGTACCTAAAGGATTCTTCTACATTTGTCTTACCTATATGTGTTAATAGCATTACATTTTTTTGCGACGGGCTCATACCAATCACCAGTGGGCAATAGTCGGTTTACCGAAGTATCACAGTCCACTACATCTCGTTGTGTAAATGAGGTTGTATCTGCACTCAACTATCCTGAAATCTTTGGTGTTTGGGTTCATTTTCCTTCAAATATGCCAGAGTTAATTGAGAGCCGCAATAAGTAATACAAGTATTAATAATAAACTATTATTTAATACATAAGTCTTTTTAGATTTTACAGGAAAACCGGATTTCCTGGTGTTATTGGCTGCTTGGATTGCACACATGTAGCCATTACATTATGTATTCTGTAGCCTGACTACAGGAAGGTTACTATAAGTAATATGATTGATTGTAAATACTTGTTATATTAGACATTAGTTTATCTTTTAAAACTGTTTGTCTATAGTTATCTTGTAAATATTTTATTTATATCCAAATGATAAATATATTAATATATTAATATATTTATCATTGGAACTAGGAAAGTATATTGTAGATTTATTAGCAACTAATAATTCCATAAAAGTATTTATGGAGTCACGCCGATCGACCCATCTTGTTAGACAAAGTAATTTTAATTAAGTAATCTGTGATCTAGGACAAACACGTTTTATAGAATCTAAGTATGTAACATTACGTGTTGTCATTTTGGGTACCTATAGGCATTTAAAAAATACGCATGCCTAATTTTTGTATGGTGCCAGACGTCAGTACAGTTTTGTATAGATTTAAATGTTAAATGTGTCAGATATTGCTAGATATAAACATCTAGTCTGGTGCCATTTACTCACCAAAAAGTCATATTATAATAATTAATAATTTATAATTTATATCATAGTAATTTTTAGTATTAATTTAATCTATTCTGTGGTATTAAAACTTTAAAGTTATCAAGCTGCCTAAAAGTAGTTAGGTACGTCATATTTCATATCTACATATAAAAAACTATAAATATAATATAAAAGTTAAACAAATGCTGTGGACTGTGATATAGTTTTAGGCCAGGGGAGTTGAACCTCTACCCCCCTAGGTACGCAACTGTACAGATGTAACGTGATGACTTATGTGATACTTATTTTTAACAGTTATCTAAATGGTCCAAATAGTACGGACAAATATGAACCATGATTTTACTTAAATACAATGAGTTTGTTGGTTGTTTGTTTATCCTATTAATTACTTAATTGTTTAATGGGGATTAACTTTGAATTATAAAATATTATAATTTATAATATAATTTTTGTCATAGGGTTACCACTTGCTCTACAGAGGTGATGGCATTTTTGGAGTCAATCAAATGGTTTCTTCAGTAATCATTTAATAATTTCTTCTTAAATATGAAATATACAATTAAAATATTTTACAAGTCTTAATATTCTCAGAACTATATACATACTTAATATTAAACATTGTATTAATGTTTTCATTATTCGATCTTAAGAATTTAACTATATTAATTTGAACTTATGAGTAGATTTTTAGTGTATCTGACACTGTCTTGTATTAATAATACAATTAAGTTACATCTTAATCTGCTAAAAATGTGTTATATCTAATACTAGGTAGATAGTAGGTACTAAGTATGCTGCTATTTATTTATTTTTATTATTCCTATATTTTACACAAACTAGTAAAGCATAAGTGTAATAATAAAATTTATTTGTTTCACATGCTATAATTTATTCCCCTCAGACTTCAAAGTTATTTATCTAATACATTAAAAATATATTTTGAAGCTTGACTACCGTTTCAATGGTCTCCCGTTGTGCGTTGAATTTTTTTCTGCAGTATGGTCAAAGATTCTTTGCCTGTATAGGAATAAGGAGTACAATTTTTTTAATTATATTTTGATTTGGTTTTAGACTTCAAAAATAAGTATATTTAAAAATAAGCATGTTAGATTTTAACCCTTTGAATACCACTGGGAAATATATGTCCCAAAAAGGTTTTTATAAATACCAGTGACCATTCGTCCCTTTAAATAACGTGTCCGAATGTCCCAATGGTTTTTATTGGCTTTTCAACTGTTATTTGACTTGTTTACCTATAGATTGCAGCACTTGTACGACCAAATTTTTGTATTTCCTATATCATTTTTTCATATCGCTGCCGTTAATTCTAATTTATATTTTGATAATTAATTATTCTTATTAATTTTGTGCTTGTTTTTATGAATTTTCATATATTTTTTATTGACTACAATACCTACGTTTGTAATATTTTATTGAGTTCAACGTTTTATTGAGTGCTACATTACAATATTGTTGGTAAAATTTACGAGTGCACGTGGTATAGGTAAGTACAAAAACTATCTATAATTATTTATGTATTTTTCAAAACTATAGGTAAGTTTGTTACTGTTTTTTTACAAATAATCAATAATTTTAGTAGGTATAGTATTTATCCTATTCTTACAACCTAATAATGATATTATAATATAATTTATCGGTAGTATCAATCAGTTGTCATCCGTATATTTTCCAACTAAGTACAAACTTTAGCTCACAATAGACCTCATATGTTGTGGCTCGGTCGGTAATGCGGCTAAACTTTTAGCGCTCGGTCCCGGGTTCAATGTTGGCGTATTATTTTCATTATTTTTGTTTTTTGCATTATTTATTTTTTCATAAATACTCGTATATTATTTTCATTATTTCTTTTTTATTCATTATTTTTTCATAAATACTCGTATATTATTTTCATTATTTTTTTTGCATTATTTCTTTTTTATTTATTTTCTTTATTATTTTTTCATAAATACTCGTATATTATTTTCATTATTTTTTTTTGCATTATTTCTTTTTTATTTATTTTCTTTATTATTTTTTCATAAATACTCGTATATTATTTTCATTATTTTTTTTGCATTATTTCTTTTTTCTTTATTATTTTTTCATAAATACTCGTATATTATTTTCATTATTTTTTTTTTTGCATTATTTCTTTTTTATTCATTATTTTTTCATAAATACTCGTATATTATTTTCATTATTTTTTTTTTTGCATTATTTCTTTTTTATTCATTATTTTTTCATAAATACTCGTATATTATTTTCATTATTTTTTTTACATTATTTCTTTTTTATTTATTTTCTTTATTATTTTTTCATAAATACTCGTATATTATTTTCATTATTTTTTTTTGCATTATTTCTTTTTTATTTATTTTATTTATTATTTTTTCATAAATACTCGTTTTAGTTATTTTAGTTATTTTATTTTGTAGTCAAGATGAGTCGACGAACAAAACGACCAAATGTCACTGAAGAAGACATCATGGAAATTCTAGAATCAGATGATTCTTCTGGTTCTGATTTTGAAGATTCCGATGATTTTGAGCCATCTGATGAAAGTTCATCGGATGATGACTATAAATCAGACGAAGAGGATAATAATATTGTTATTCCTAATACCTATCCCGATGATGAACCAGATGACGAGGGTAATAATATTATTATTCCTAATCCCGATCCTAATCATGTTGTTTGGTCTCTACCACGTCGTTCGTTTACTCCACGGTTTACTATACCTGATGACCGTAAACCTGAAGTATTGGTTGATTTGGAACCTGGTTGTTTAGAATTGCAATGTTTTCAAAAAATTTTTCCACGCAGTTTGTATATATTTATAAGTCAATGTACGAATGAACGTTTACAGATACTAAGGGAGAAAAAGAAGAAAACTAAAGATGAAATTCGAGATTCAGACTCCAGTGAAATAATGCTAACACTTGGTTGCCTACTGGTTATGAGTTATAATAAATTACCTAATGTGTACGATTATTGGTCCCAAAATCCATCTATGGGGAACCAAGCCATAAAATTGGGAATGGCGCGAAATAGGTTTCAGTTGTTGATGTCTAAACTGTATTTCAATCACCCAAAGCCACCTACAAATGCTCCTAAAACGTACTACACAGACGAAATGGTAAATTGTTTGAAGTATACATTTTTGAATGCTCGAGGAGAGAGCCCGTTTCAAAGTTTGGACGAATATATGACGAAATTCAAAGGTAGATCCAGTTTGAAACAGTATATGCCGCTCAAACCTATAAAACGAGGAATAAAGATTTGGGAGCGCTGTGACTCAAATACTGGATATACTTACGATTTCAACATCTATAGTGGAAAAAACGAGTCAAATGACACTGACAATAGAACACTGGGGGAACGAGTAGTTATGAAATTATCCGAGACGATTCGTGACCCAAATGTGGTACTTGCTTTTGACCGATTTTTTACAAGTGTGCGGCTTCTCACAATTATAGATTTTCCTGCTCTTGGTACATGTATTATGAATCGGAAAAACGTACCTAAGTTTGATGGAAAATTAAAAAGAGGTGAACATCAATTTCGCAGTTGTTCAGATGGATTGATAGCAGCAAGATGGCAAGACAGTAAAGATTTTGTAGTAATTAGTAACTGTCATACACCGAATGTTGGAGAAATTACTCGTAAGCAAAAGGATGGGACAAAATTGAAAGTGTCTTGCCCAAATTCTATTATTTTTTATAACCAAATCATGGGCGGAGTAGATCTATCAGACCAGAAAGTGAGTGTGTACGATTGCAGCCGTAAGTCAACGAAGTGGTGGAAAAAGGTGTTCTACAAATTATTGATGTCAGCGGTCGTAAATGCATGGATCCTCTACAATGAGGTCAATGAAAATAAAACCAGACTATTACAATTCTTGGTACCATTGGCTGAACAAATGATGGCAACAGGAAAGGCAAATTGTGCAGTAAAACGCAGGAGAAACAGTGGAAGACCATCAAAGATCGCGAAAACACTAATCAATGTTGGAGACCATTTACCTGTCGAGGGCATGAGTAGACGAAGATGTGCGAGGTGTTTAATGAAAAAAAAAGAAACCAGGACTACGCAAATGTGTCAAATGTGCAATTTACCACTATGCAAAAACTGCTTTACATTGTACCATACTTCATAAAATGAATAAAAAAATATTATATAAAATATAAAACTGTTAAAATGAAATTAAAATAATGTTTTTGATATTTTTTCGTACTTATAAATTTAATATAAATGAAAAATTATTCCAGCTTTCCTCAACCATTGGGATATATGTCCCACACATACAATACTATTGGGATAGATGTCCCACTCGTGCAATACCACTGGGATAATTATTCCCAGTATTCCAACACCACTGGGACATAAATGTCCCGACAAGAATTAACCAATGGGACTCATGTGTCCCACCTCCCCTAAATGTCCACCCCTTAATTTTTTTTTTAAACAAGAATTGGTTTTGGGTTATTTAAAGTCTCCTAATTTCGTTTTTAAAAAAATTAAAAATTAACTCCAAGAATTTAAAATTGGTATTCAAAGGGTTTTAAAACATTTATTTAACGCATTACGGTGGTTGAGTATTTCAATTATTACCTACCTGGCTACCTGTAAAAACTAATTTCTGATTTCATATTGTATACATTAATTATAGTATATTAATTTGAGTAATTTTAGTTAAGTAGGTGGCGGATATCTTATAAATTGTATAATTTTATATTAACCCATATTTAATCGACTATAGTTTAAGTATGTAGGTATTGCATTTTAAGAGGATGTCAGCGCATTTGTTGACTCGTTTTAGCCTACGCGCCACATAGAAAAAACGCATGCGCCCAAAATTATTTTTTTAATGTATTTATTATTGTATAGAGCAAATTAGTATAGAGTATTATTAAAATATTTCCGCTAAACAAGGTAATATTTAATTAAATTTACAACATTTTTATTTTTAAAGTCTAATATAATATAGTCAAATACCTAATAATAAAATATAAAACGAATGTCAAACAATCAAAAATATTATTCTTTAAAGTTTTTACAAAAGTTTACTCTCATATTGCTCGAAAATCTAAAATTATTTTATGTGAAACGTTTTCTCTATGTCAAACGTGGATTTGAGTGAGAAGACAAAAATTGTGTGTCAATTTAAAAGTTTAATTTTATATAATTTGATACTTTAACATGTCTTATGTGACATACAAATTGATTATGCATACGGATATAAGGGTTTTTTGAAGGTAGTTTGACAAATTTTTTTCTAACCTTAGTTAATTCTTAACTCGCAACTTGTGTCAGTGCTATGCCATGAGTTAAAATGTAATACCTATCTGATTATTTTTTCAAATCAAGCGCCAAAAACTTAATTCATTTTGATAAGGTGACTTTTTGTCGACATTTTTACGATAATGTTACCGTAATTATATGGTTGGTAGTGTGGTACGATGGTTTTATGTCGAGTGGCATTTTGTCGCATTTTGAGGATGGTTGTTTTGCCGAATGATTTTTTGTCGTTACTCGTGGCTTTGTGTCGGGTGGCTTTTTGACGGTTCATAACAATACGATTTTCGCACACAAATTTACGGTTGGTTGCAGTGGCGTAGCCAGGGGGGTGGCTAAGGGGGCTATAGCCCCCCCCCCCCATTGACCGATGTTGACCTAAGAATTTTATCAAGATTAATAAAAAAATTAAAAGCGTAAATAAAAAACACATTGTATTTGTATACTTAGCCCCCCCCCCCCATAAAAAATTCCTGGCTACGCCACTGGTTGGTTGTGCGGTACGATGGTTTTTTGTTGAGTGGCATTTTGTCGAATTTTGATAATGGTGTTTTGTCGAATGGTCTTTTGTCGTTATCGCGTGGCTTTATGTCGTGTGGTCATTTGTCGGGTGACTTTTTGGCGTGCTTCGTACATTTGTATGTACTGGGAAATCGAAGATTTTTTATTCAAATCGTTAATATCGTCCAAACGACTAAAAATACGAATTAAAAACATTCCACAATTATTGTAGACCGTGAAAAGGTGATAAGAACACAACCGACACCTAACCTGGAGATAACATGATAACTGCACGAAAAAGATGAACAAAATAATTTTCTAATTTCGACAATATTGTTCTGTAATCTGTATGACTGTATGACTTTTGTCATTACTTAATTGGTAGTAGGTAGTTTTATTGCGATGGTGGCTAAGTGTTGTATAGTTGGATGTACTTCAGGCTACAAAAGCAACACAGAAAAGGTACAAAAAAATTAGTTAATTTTATAACAATTAGTTAGTTATTATATTCAATATTCAGTAGTATTTAAGAAATATTAAAATCAAGAAAAATTAAATTATCTAAAGATAAAATGTAAAGTTATGTTTTAATATAGCTTTAAATTTAGTTCATAAGTTGAAATAAATATAAATTATGTAAGTTGGTATATTATAGTATATGTATTCCTTTATTTATGTATTTAGCATCTGTTGGTGAGTTGAATATCAGTAAATCATTGGACAGTGATCATAATGCATCATCCAAAGCTGAATTAACAAATATATTACCTTTTTTTCATTATTTTTTTTTTTTTTTTGTTTTTAGGCTACAAGAATCATTACTGGGATGAAAAAACAAAAATAAAATTATTATAAACTGTAAATTAGTTAGGTATAAAATTAGTTATTAAGTATTAACCAACTACTAAATAGGTTTTATTACATAAAGAATAAGTAATGAACAAAGTAATAATAACATATGATGTTTATTTGATATTTTATTTTACAGATATTTTATAAATAAAATAAATTACAACTGGGTAAGAAAGACTTGTAGTCATTAATTATTATTTGCTGACGTCAGTCATTTAGAGAGTTTTTCGAAGTATAAGTCAAGTGTTGGGGGAATTATTTTTGTATGTAATTAAATTACATTAGATACTAATTAAGTACTCAGCTTTCAAATAAAGTAATTAAAAAAATTAAATTTCTAATCACGATTAGAATTATTTCATCACGAGTGAACTCGTCCAGCCGGTAACCAGTTAGGCCTTGTGACTACTAGCGCTTTAGTTCACTGCGTTCGCCGCATCGACCAGCGATAACACGCCGTGCGCCAACCTGTGTAGATAACCGTGGTGTTTGTATCATAGAGTAATATAGAGGCGGCGTTACCTATCACCACGATTAAAGATATACAGGTTGCACATCGACTACTGATAAGGTGAAATACGAAATGACTACCAATAATTAACCAGTGGCGCTCCAAGCGGCAGTATTACAATTAACCGATTATAGATATATAGGTGTAAAATTAGTTCTAAATGTCGACACATATGGTTGAGTGTTGACATTAAGCGCCACTAGTTAATTATTAACAGCTGATTTTTATAGTCACTTTGTAAATTAGTCTGGAAGCGGTTTACTATAGGGCGATGTGCAACCTGTATATCTTTAATCGTGCCTATCACTGGCATGTAACAGAATTGAAGCCAAACTATCGGTCATTGATCCCTAAAAAGAGGAGTCCAACACCGATATTCTTTTCCGTTAGATCGCGCTGTACTCGCTAAATATCGATCCTCAAAAGGATTCAGAATAATAATTATTATTTTAATTATTTTATTCAGAATACAACTTATTTAGTATTTTTATGAAGTATCAAGTATTCTGCATACTATTTCGCATAATTATTTGAGTTTTTATTCCAAATATTATTTAAAAGTATTTTATCCAAATCTGCTGAATACCTGTATATTAATTTTAAACACATTAACTATTTGAATGTACTGAGATATATTTTCTTCATGTAATAAGTAATACTTAACGGTATATTAAACAACCTCTTTGTTCAATTAGGCTGATTTTTTTAGTAAAAACTTGCTCACTGACAGTCAAGTCATTCAAAAATGTCACAAACGACTATCATGACATGATATTGTGAACAACAAATAGCAATAATATTTTTACAATGAGTACAGAGATTAGTAAGTGAAAAAAAACAACAATGTTTAAAACTTAAAAACATGTATAAAAATTCCTAAAAAGTTATATTTGGAGCGTAGCGCTCTTTGGATCCGAAACCTGGACAATAAACTCAACGGAAAAAAATAGGCTAGAAGCCTTTGAGATGTGGTGCTACAGGAAAATGCTCAAAATACCATGGACTGAGAAGGTAACGAATAAAGAAGTACTAGACAAAATAAAGGAACAACGACAAATATGGAAAAGTATTCAATCAAGAAGAGGCAAGATGATAGGACACATTTTAAGGCATGAGAGTTTATTAAAGAAAATAATTGAAGGAGATGTTGAAGGACACATTGCAAGAGGAAGACCAAGAACAGAATACATGACACAGATAATGCAGGATACGAATAAGGGAAGTTACAAAGACCTGAAGGAATTGTGCTACGATAGAGAAGCATGGAGAGCTGCAACAAACAAATCTACGGATTTATAACAAAAAAAATAAATAAAAATGTATTTAATGAAAAACCATACAAAACAACAGATAAAAACAAATTTTATAGTTAATTATGCAAATTAAAATATATAGTACAAATAATAAGTTTTATTGTCCTCTAAAAAGTTATTTTATTATACCACATTCTAAGGGACGGTTTATCGTTATGTGATTTTAAATTATAATTTACTTTCAGTTTTATGTATGTAAATGAAATAGATTTTATTAATAATGTTACATGATCTGTCAAAGGGCTATTACTTTCTAAACTATGGGATTTTAATGAACTGAATATGTTAGAGTTAAAAAAATGATATAGGACTTTAGATTGTAAAAATAATGTGTTAACTTGATGATTTTCGTAGTTAAAAGATTTGAGAAATTTTTCTGTTTGTAAGCAAATAGTAATGACGTCGTCACTGGGATAATTTAGTCCTCCATTATTGCCTTCTTTATTTTTCAATGTAATGAGAGAGTTTAAAAATGATTCTTTATCATTTGAGCATAATGATTTTAAACATTTGTCACACTTAATCGTTGAAGACAACTTGTGAACAACAAATCCAGCAATGTAAATTATGATTTCTTTTGAAAAACTAGAGAAGTTATACATATTTTGTGTATATATATAATCATGATCATTAATGTATGAATCAACCTCTTGAATATTTTCTTCTGACAAAATAGAATCCATGTTATGACTTTCAGTGCTATTATTAATTGTTTTAATTGGGTCTGAACTTGAATAATGAAGTATATCGATATTTTCAAGAGGGATACAATTACCTGTATTGAGGTTTTCGACATTGTTTGAATGTATAACCAGCTTTTTGTAAGCCGACTGAAATTGGCGAGAGGTAGGATTATTATTAAAACCCCCCAATGCTCGAACTGTGCCGAAAAATAATTCAAGGTGGTCTTGACTTGTCTTATACATTTTTATGTGATCCAACTTCCCAGATTTTACTTAAGTTTCATATAATAGTAATGCGGAATGCAAACACACAATAAATCCCAGGAAACCAGTTTTTCGGTTTGATTCTAACACGGGTATAAAGTTAACATTTTCCTTCACTTTTAGCCCCTTAATATAGGTTGTCATTAAATTGGTAAACTCACTTATTTCTTTAATATTTTCATCACTAATGGCTTTCTTTTTCCCATAACACCTAATTGACCTTGAGTTAAGAATGTCGAAACCGGAATTAAACATTTCAATAAATTTTACAGTACCATCAACTTCTGAAAATTCCTTAAGACCTAGATTATACTTGCAGAATATAAGAGCGTCCGCTACGGATTGACTTAAGAGTTGGCTTGCTAATTTCACCTTCATCTTTTGTTTGAAAAAAAATATGTGCTGCTTCCTCAACTTATTGGCCAGGTGACATCCTTCTTTCTCCTGAAGTATAAGTAGGCGTTTAACCAAATTAAAATCTATCAAATTACCATCACTATTAAGCAAAGTTTCTTTATCTCCAAAAGCATTACGTACTAACTTTATCATGTGTGCTGGATCTAAAAATACAGCTATATTGTCAAATTTGGTGTTTAATGTGTTAATATTGAAGTCGCAACCTAGAAGCCGTGCCATAGTCAAATTTGTGGAACAGCCGTCAAATGTCAAGCTTACTACAGAAACCCCAGTATCATTTAATAGCTTTAATGCATGATTAGTTAGTTCAGCCTTTTGAGATCCATTTAAACTAGTAATTAGAAAATAACCGATAGGTATTTTCCAATTTTCGTTAATGGACACCAACATAAATACCAGACATTCTTTTGCCTTTTCAAAATTATCATTATCTACACCAGTTCCTAGGTCCACTCCACCATAGTAATTCTTACCATCAAACTCAATGTGCTGCCTAATTGCCATTTCATCCATCATCAAGCTACAGATTACAGGTACATATGAAAATTTAACTTTCAAAGCAAGTGTTTTTAAGGCTTCACTGGTAAACCCAGGCTTAGCATCAACATGAGAATACCATTTTGACAAAGTTCGTACATGCAGCAAAATAGTATTAAATTGCTTTCGAACATAATTGTAAGCTTTAGCTGAAAATAGATGTAAAAACAAAGCAAACTGTCTTACAGCTGGGCTGTACTTCTTAGGAACTTTTGGTTAGAGTTTTTTTTATACAAATTAGTTATTAAGTTTTTGTGTTTACCGAATGATTCTTACAGCATATCTGAAGCATCATCATTAATAAGATTCTCTTTCCTTAGTTGAGAAATTATTGTTTTTAAAGAAGCAATTTTTTTATTGGCTCGCCTCAGGTTTTGTTGTAGGAATTTAATTTTTTTGTTTTTAACTTGAACTTAATTTAGTAATTTGTGAACTCCAAGCTTCAAAAATTTTCGTTTTGGTGTATCTTGGTCAACAATATTACTAGCAGCTAAATAAGAAGACTTCCGATTTTTCTAAACAGAATTTAAATTATTAATTATAATTTATTAATATACACCTAATATAAATAAATTATTTAATATTAATAAACTTACTTGAATCGTATAATTTTCAGAGTTAGTATTTGATTGCATAGAAACATCTAACTGCAACGATTCTTCAGCTGATATCAACAACTGTGCACGATCAATCTTGTTAGTAGGCAACTAAAATTGAATTTAAATAATTATATCAATATATCATAAAATCATTAAAATCATATTAAAACATTTAAAAACTAAAGCATATATGATATATAATCATTATAACTATTTATAAGTAAAATTACTTGGACTGGAGAATTTTCTTCTAATACTGACACTCCTTCACAACATATATCATCTCTAGCTACTACAATAGTATTGGGTTTTTTTACATGCACATATTGTGTGAAACTGAGATTACTTGTATTTGGCTGTATAAAAAATATATCTAACTGTAATGATTCTTTAGGTGATATCGACAGTTTTTCACAATCAATCTCGTAAGTAGGCGATTAAAATTAAATTTAAATGATTATATTAATATATCAAACAATCATTAAAATCTTATTAAAACACGATCCATTTAATATAATAATTATAAGTAAAATTACTTGGACTGGAGAATTTTCTTCTAATACTGACACTCCTTCACAACATATATCATCTCCAGCTACTACAATAGTAGGTTTTTTTATATGCACACTTTTACTGGAACTGAGAGTACTAGAATTTGACTGCATAGAAACATCTGACAATGCTTCAAGAAAAAAAGAGCTTGACTAACCAGCTTTACTAATTTCAGGATAGAAATTTTTTGCCTGAAATAGAGTAGAACATAATTTTATAACATGTTAAAAATGTACGTTATTCAAATATAATATGCTTATATTTCAATTAAGTAATATAATCATACATAAATTACTTCTATTATTCAATGATATTTAAAACTTACGTTTATCACTCTGGATATTATGATATTAGGAACAGCATTTTTGCATAGATTTCTAGTGTTTTTGTGTAAGAGAAACGTAGAAGCATCAAAATGACTCGAACACATTACACTATACTTATTGATACTATCCACCTTCAAACCATTTTCAATCACAAAATCATACCATTTTTTTTCTTATTGCTTGATTAGCAGGAAACCTAAATAACATTTAAAAGTTTGTTCAGTATACTTTCAGCCACTATATAAAAAAAATAGTGAATTTGGCCACCCTTCAACTGAATAGAAAACTGTTTAATTAAAAGTTAAAAAGGTACTTACTTGTGAAACGTAATATCTTGCAATTTCGAAGTAGAATTTCTAGACCGCTTACACACAAAACAACTAGGCATTTTTTCAGAATTTCTAAGTATGAATAATGAATAATATGTAAAAGAATTGCAAAGGTATACACTATTTACACTGAATAAAGTTCAAAGTTGCGCCAAAAATCAAAATGATTACCAAAAACTTATCATCGAATAGATATCAATATTTATTGAAGTACAGCGCGATCTAACGGAAAATATTATCGGTGTTAGACTCCTATTTTCTGGGGTCAATGACCGACAGTTAGACTTCAAACGTGATAGGTAACGCCGCCTCTATATTACTCTATGGTTTGTATTCGATAATTTTATCATTTTATCACATTCGATTATTTTATCGAGTGATCTCAAGAATCGGCCCCCTGATAAAACTCTGAAATTTAACTAACACGAGAAAACTATCACTTGTGTACACGTAAACACATTAAGGGCCATTTTATCAATCTTCAGTTAAGAGAATTTAATCTCCAGTTAAGATTAATCCCCAGTTAAACTAAAAATGTGATTTTATCATTACTTGATTAATATTTTAACCGGAGTTTAACTGCAAATTAATTAGTCCGAGATATTTGGCCAGTTAAAGAGTTTAACTAGAGTTTAGCTGAAATATTATCAATAATCTCATTTATTTTGGTATATGATTACTGATTACATGTTGTTCGAATTTATTTTTGATTTCAAAGATTTTTTTTATTCGTTTTTTTTAACTAATTTAAAAGAATCTTATAACTTATAAGATGACTTATTTATGCAGCAGCAGTAGTAGTGACAGTAGTACTGATGAAGAAATTGAGTTTTTGAGTTATGTGAACCGATGTTTCAACAAACCCCGAAGACCATATTTATTGTCAATAAGAATAGATCATTTAAATAAATGGGACGATTATACACTAGGCGCAATTGAGTACCTATGAATATATTTTAGATAATCAGGTGTCAGATGAATCAGATCCAGATAGTGAATTTAAATTATGCTAAAACATAAATTAAAATTAATTTAGAATTAGAATTAAAAATGAATTAGAATTTTTAGAATTAAATAAAATAAAATGATTAATCACTAAAAATAAAAAAAATATTATGGTTACAAATTATTTTATAATATTGTTAGATTAAGAATATATTTTTATTAAATCACTATTTTAACGCTCTTATAATGTGGACAGTGATTACACTGCGGCACTAGCGGCACCCTTTTTTTAGATGTTCATATTTCGACTTCAAACACTTTTCACTTTGGAATCCATTAAGGCTATTACTATTGAATGCCTTAGCCAGTATATCCCATGTTTTGCTTTTCACATTTGCAGTTACAGCGTCTGTTTTCTTATTTTCTAGTATTTTGTTGTGCCTAACCACTAGGTCGACAAGAAGTTCTAACTCACTGGCAATGCAATTTGTGGAGCGTTCTCGCTTCACTTTAGAATTCATTATGACAATATAAAAATTTTTTATAAACTGAATTAATTAAATGGTAATTTACATGAATAGTATAAGTTAATATAAGTATTATAATATAAAATATAAATTACATTTTATAATATAGATAAAAATAGTAAAATACGAATACACTACAGATTAAAATAATAACAAAAAACAATATACCGATATGAAGATAAGAACATGTATATATTAACGTGCTACTAACTTCAATTGGTAGTAAATTAATCTTCGGTTTATAAAACGCAGTTTACTTAACCTCGGATTAAATTTGATTGATAAAATTAACATTTTTTTAATCTTCAGTTAATCTAAACTAGAGATTAGTTAAACGACTATTTAACTGATGATTGATAAAATGGCCCTAAAAGTCAATGGACGAACACAACTCCAACTAATCTGCCAAACATGACATACGCACTGATAATTCAACGATTGCAGTCGATGGTATCGGTATCGCCACTTACGCGACCAATTAAAGCTATATTTAGCAAATAATTATTGTAGAGTGTAGGCTGTAGACAATTCAACGTTTCCCAACCGGTGTGTCTCAATGATAATGATAAACGTTTTTCGTAAAAATATTTTAAAATATTTATTGGTTTTCAATTATATGACGTGGCTCCCTTCGACAACTCCCGCGACGCCCCTGGGAGCCGTGACGCACAGTTTGAATACCTCTGTCTTAAAGCAATAAATTCACAAAAGATATATGTATATTGCTCGTGCAGACGCGAATCGCCG